TCATGGTATAGATGAAGAACAATTTGGAAGGGTGCATTTGTGAATGATGGCAAGATTAAGGCTATGACCATCTTTGTGGGTGACTGAGATGAGTGGAGGAGGAGGTCATGGAAAGTATGCTGAAGGACTCTAGTATGAGAGCAGGAATTGGAGAGGTGGGAAAGACTGAGCCAGGCACTGATCTTATTGAGGAAAGAAGAGTGTCCTGGAGGTCAGTAGACAACAGCTACCAGAATGTTGATTGGGTGGTAGATATGGGCTGAGTGAATCTTAAAGTCAAAATGTTACTACTGAGTGATCGGTAGAGGGGTAATTGCCAATGGGGAACAAGGAGGATTCTGACTCCACCTCAAATAGTGAATGGATTGGATGAATACAAGTGAAACGAGTTGCTGGAATGTGAGGTTGTGTCATCAGGAGGGAGCCAGGTCTCAGTGAGAGCCAGAAGATAAGTAGAGTGAGAAAGGAAAAGTTTTAAGATGAAGGCTAGTTTGTTGCCTATGGAACAGGTATTTCAGAGAGCACAGCGGAAGGGATGGAAAGCTTTAGAGTAAGACATTTGGGTAGGGGTTTAAGAATAATGGTAATAAGAGATCCAGGTGATGGGGTTTAGATGATGATCTTAGGGATTCAGAATCATTTGGATTATGATTAGGAGGGAGTTTATCTTAGTAAAGCACTGAAGATTGAGTACCAGTAGGTTATCAATGAGCAGTTAGGTGACACAGTGAATAGAGTGCCAGGCTTAGAATCAGGAAGACCTGAATTCAAATCCAGCCTCTGATACTTACTAGCTGTGTGATCCTGGGCAAGTCACTCAACCTTGTTTGCCTCAGTTTCCTCATATGTGAAATGAACTGGAGAAGGGAATGGCAAACCACTCCAATATCTTTGCCAAGAAAACCTCAAAAAATGGTCACAAAGAATTGGATATGACTGAAATGACTAAATAACAGGTTATCAGTATCCCTTAGAATTTTGACCTTAGGGTGAAATATTCTCAGGGACTTGGAAAATTCAGGCCTCCAAGGCAGGAGACCAGGTTAGAGACTGAATGGATTTTTCTCTTCTTCCCTGGAAGGGAGGAATATGGTGCTATATGGAATGGTGTTTCTTTCCTCTTCCAGCAAGAAGCAACAGATCAGACAAAAGATCTGACTGACTGGAATATGTGCTCTCTTTTTGCCCCAAAGGCAGGAGACTGGTGCTTGATGAGATAGCATTCCTCCTTTTCCCTCTGAGGCTAGAAACCAGGCAGGAGATTCCCCTCTCCCCTCAGTGATGTTTGCCCTTTGTACTTGAAGAGGACCAAAATGATATCACCCTGTTGGGGGTCAAGGTACAGTGTGTCCAACTGGGGCTGGCCAATCCAATATGAACTCAGAAAGCTCTTCCAAAGTTTGGGCTCAAATAGTCCATTTGAACATTTGGGGTGGAGATGTCTCTAAATTTGAGCATCTTATGTTTCTTTTGAGCTACTGCAATCCTCCTTTCCTCATAGAGCAGGCACCTTCTTTGATGTGGGCAAGCCATGCTGGGTGGTCCTGTGTCAACGTCTCCCATGTCACATAATCAATTCTAAAGTTCTTCAGAGAGACTTTGAGAGTGTCCTTGTATTGCTTCTTCCAACCTCCACATGAGCACTTCCCTTGTTCCAGTTAGACTCATCAGAGTTGTACTCTCTGCAGTAGAGTTTGAATGCTTGGCAGTTCAGCTCAAGAAAGAACCTCAGTGTTCGGTACCTTAATCTTGCCAGGTGATCTTCAGAATCTTCCTAAGACAATTGAAATGGAAATGGTTCAATTTTCTGGCATGACACTGGTATGCTGTCCAGGTTTCGCAGGCATGCAACAATGAGGTCAGCACAAAGGCTCCGTAGACCTTCAGCTGGGTAGGCAGCCTCATACCTCTTCTCTCCCACGCTTTTCTTTAGATCCTCCCAAACACTGAGCTTAGCTCTGGCAATGCATGCATCAACCTCATCATCTATATGTACATCCCTGCAAAATATACTACTGAGGTATAACTTATCCACAGCATTTGAAATTTCTCCATTTTGGTAACCAACAGTTCCATACGTGGATGGGGTGGTGCTGGCTGGTGGAGAATCTATTTTCTTGTTGTTGATTATTAGGTCAAAATTAGCACAAGGAGCATAGAATCAATCCATACTCTGTTGCATCTCAGCTATAGAGGCTTTGTTGAATGCAGAATCATCTGTGAATAAAAATTCACACACTAACTCTTCCTCCACTTTAGTCTTAGCTTGCAGACTTCTTTTTTTTAAGGCAATTGGGGTTAAGTGACTTGCCCAGGGTCACACAGCTAGTAAGTGTCAAGTGTTTGATCTGAGGCTAGATTTGAACTCGGGTCCTCCTGACTTCAGTGCTGGTGCTTTATCCACTGCACCACCTAGCTGCCCCTAGGTTGTAGATTTTTCAAATTAAATAGTTCATCATCAGTGAGGTAGCTGACCTCGATGCCATTTTCATCCTGTCCAAGGCAACTGACCACATTGAGAAAAACATCATGCTAAAAAGCATGGGAGCGGCACACAGCCCCGCTTCATCTCCCATCTCAACAAAGCAGGAGATTAATGCAGTGGAATGGTGTTCATCCTTTTCCTGCAGGAGACTGGAGACTAAATGGATGTGGAACAATGGAATGCTGTCCTCTCTTCTCCAGAAGCAAAAATTTGGACCTTGACCTTCATTACTACCTTGATTTCTTCAGACATTTCATGGTTTAGGAGAAGAGGGTTGTCTCTATAGTAGCCTTAAATTTTGTCCTGGGAGGTCCAATGCCTTAAGGTGTGATAATAAGCCTGGAGGCCTGAGCGAGTTCTTCTGATGTAGGTGGGACCATATATAAGTTTGGAGGTCCTATCCCAACCTTGGTTAATGTGATTCCAGAAGGTTTAAATACTTCAGTTGAATCAATTAGTCAATCAACAGTGTAAGGTAAAGAATTTCCCTGTAACTCCATTTGTTGTTTAGTCATTTCCAGTGCTGTCTGACTCTTTTTGACCCCTTTTGGGGTTTTCTTGGCATTTTCTTCTTCAGCTCATTTTACAGAAGAGGAAACTAAGGCAAACAGGGTTAAGTGACTTGCCCAGGGTCACATAGCTAGGAAGTGTTTAAGGCTGAATTGGAACTTAGGTCTTCCTGTCTCCAGGCCTGGTGCTCTATCCACTGTGCCACCTCAGTACCCTACAACTCCATTATGCGTTTTACAAAAAATTGAGATGATTATAGGGTTTGGGCCATTGGAAGAAGGCAGATGATATAATCTAGGAAACATCTTGTGACTAGCTGAAATAAGCAGACACATTTCTGGGCCTATATATAAAAACATCAGTCAGTATAGAGGTGAAGGATTCCTAGTGCCAGAGTTAGAGCCAGCCCTTGAGAGGGAATTCTTGGGTAAGAAGTTCCTCTCTTTCCTTTTCCCTCTCTCTCTTCCCCCTTCCCTTCCTCTGACCCACCCCAGTTGACCATGCCATCAAAGAGACTTGACCAAGGATCCAACCCAATAAACATTTATTAAAGTGCCTACTATGTGTCAAGCACAGTGCTAGGTCCTGGGGATATAATTAATAAAAAGAAAGACAGTCCCTGCCCTCAAGGAGCTTACAATTTAATGGAAGGAGATAACACAAACTAGGAGGCAGGAAAGGAGGGAGAGAGAGAGAGAGGACAGGACACTAGGGGCATCTTATTCCATGGAATTGAAACCTGGCAGGGCAGCAGATGCAGAGTGGACTGAGCTGAAGAGTCCAGCTTCTGCCCTCTATAAAGGAAGGCATTGGGAGGAGTTTGGCGCTCCTCTAACCCTCCAATAAGTTAGCAATTGAGTTAGCAGCAGGTGATGAGATGATTAGAGGTGATGCACCTCACCTGGGTGAGGCAGCTTGTTCCATGGAACTGAAACCAGGCAGGGCAGCAGATGCAGAGTGCAGTGACCAGAAGCGGTGAATCCAGCTGGTGTCTGAGAAACTGGACCAGTAAGAGACAACACATCTGCCCAGGAGCAGAGTGACACGTGGAAGACAAAAGGATGTGGGAAGACATTGACCCAAGAAGAGAGGCAGCTTCACCAGTCATGATCCCATGCACTGCAGAAGCGTGTTGGCTATGGGTGTGAGAAAGGACTTGCAGGCTGCAAGGTGCTAGGAGTGGAATGGATTACTCCTTTTGCCACCTGCATATCCTATAAGGATCACTGGACCATGAAGTAAGTGGAGGGAAGTAAGATGTATGTGAGAAGACTGCAAAAGAAGGAAGGGGCCAGTTTGTGGGAGGCTTCAAAAGCCAACCAGAGGCTTTTGTGCTTGATTCTGGAGGTAAATTGGAGTTTTTTGAGTAAGGGAGTGACATGGTTAGACATTGGACGTTAGGGAGATCAGTTGACATCTGGGGAGGATGGACAGAAGAGAGATACTCGAGTTTGGGAGATCAACCAGAAGGCTGTTGACATAGTCCAGGGGTGGAGTTATGAGTGCCTGCACCAGGGTGATAGCAGTGTCAGAGGAGAGACGGGACCATGAAGAGAAGTTGGTGAAGGCAGAATCAACAGTTTGGCTACTGAGCCTTGAGAGATAATGAGACGATATGCAGATTTTGGCCCTGGGTGACCGACATGATGGTGGCATCCTTCACAGTAAGCCAGAAGTTAGGAGGAGGGGAAGGCTTTGGGGCAAAGATAATGAGTTCAGTTTTGACATGTTGAGTTTAAGCTGTTTATGAGACATCCAGTTTGAGATGGGGGCCTGGAAGTCAGGAGGTTAGGGCTAAACAAATAGATCTGAGAACAACCTGCATAAAAATGATCATTGAATCTAAGGTAGCTGATGAGACCACCAAGTGAAGTAGTATAAAGAAGAGGGCCCAGGACAGAGCCTTGGGAGATGCTCGTGGTTAGTGGGCACTCTTTAAAAAAAAAAGAGATCTAGCAAAGGAGACTGAAAATAATAACAGCAAGCATTTCTATTACAGCTTGTAAGTGTGATGCAGAATTTGAACTCGGATCTTTGTGACTCCAGGTCCAGCATTCTATCCACTCCACAGTGGCAGAGAAGTGGTTGATAGAGAGAGACTGAAGGTAAGTGAAAGGATAGGGATGGGAGAGGGGGCAATCTACTGAAGGAGATGGGTGGAATGGGATTACTAGTGCTCCTAGAGAGGAAAGGAAGGGAACAGGCATTTACTAAGTGCCTACTATGTGCTGAGCACTGTGCTAAGTACTTTACGAATATTATCCCATTTAATCTTCACAACAACCCTGGGAGGTGGGTGTTCATGTGATCCTCATCTTCCACTTGGGGAAACTGAATCCCACAGAGGTTAAGTGACTTGCCCAGGGTCGCATAGCTAGTAAGTGTCTGAGGCTGGATTTGAACTCAGGATTCCCGACTCTAGGCCCTGCACTCTATCAACTATGTCAATGGCTCAGGAAGAAGGAGGATCCTCATAATGGGGAAAGGTATTTCGGTTTTCTCATCAATTCCTATTGAATAGAGAATTCTTTCTTAGATACTTTATGAATGTTTGATGGATGGTGACACATTAAAATGGTTCCCAAGTTGGTCTTGATTTGGCAAATTAGTTTTAATGCTTATATATTTAATGCTCATGTACACATACATTAAACATATATACCATATATACATTATACATATACTTTAATATAATAATATTTAATGTTTGTATTTATAACAAAGAATCTTCCTTCTTCGATCCCTGGAGTCTGCTCTGGAGAGTGTACCTTTAAGACCCTACTACTAGTAGCTGGCATTCACTTAGGGCTTTGACATCTATCGCCAAGTGCTTTGTCTGCATCGATCAGAAGATGGAACCGATTTTAACGTTAACTGCACCACTGACATGATTGAGAAAAGGGTGTCTTGAAATCAGTATTGCCCAGTGGGCATTTATTTTGCTTGATTCTATTTTTTTTTTAAAAATGAGAGTGGTTGGAATAATAATGGTAGTAGAAATAATAATAACTTACATTTCTATAGCACTTTAAGGTTTGAAAAGTGCTTTACAAATATCTCATTTGATCTTCACAACAACCCTGGGAGGTAGGTGCTATTATTATTTCCACTTTACAGATAAAGAAACTAGGCTGACTGAGATAAGTTGACTTACTCAGGGTCATACACTGCTAGTCAGGATTCAAACTCGGCTCTTCCTGATTTTAGGTCCTGGGTTCTACCCACTGTGCCACCTAGCTGTCTATAGACTGGGCTGGCTTACCTCTGAGCTCATTCCATTTCTTTCTCTTTTTTATTAATTTATTTTAATTTATCAACAATCACTTCCATAAGTATTTGAGTTTTAAATTTTTCTCCCCCTCCCTCCCCAAGACAGTGCGCAATCTGATGTGGGCTACACATAGACATTCCTATTATACATATTTTCATATTAGTGATGTTGTAAGGAAGAATTAGAACCAATAGGAGGAACCACCAGAAAGAGAAAACAAAACACAACAGAAGAAAAAAGAATAGTGAATAACATGCTTTGATCTGCATTCAAACTCCATCATTCTTTCTTTGGACGTGGATAGCATTTTCCATCACGAGACTCACTTCCACTTCTAAATAGAACTCTAGTGAAACTGTACCTTCAATTTTTTTTGGTTAAAATTTTCACCAACATCTTTTGTTCCCCCAGTTTTATATATCTAGACCTAGCTAGGTTTCGCAGTTAATAGAGCACTGGACTTGGAGTCAGGAAGGCCTGAGTTCAGATCCAACCTCAGGGTGGCAAGTCTCTAAACCTCAGTCTTCTTCAGCTTCTTTATCTATAAAATGGAGATAATAATAATAATGAAGACAAAATGAGATCATATTTGGAAAGTGCTTTGTTCTACACATTTCCTCCTCTTGCTCTTGATCTTTGACCTCCCCTTCTGCTCCTCCACCTTTTCTTTCTCCCTCTTTTCCTACTTCTCCATTAGGCAGTCCTAATGGCTTTACAATATCATTGCCATTTTTCATCAAGGTTGGATTGAATCACCTCTACAATACCTCCACCTGGGAATCTCTGTGCTCCTCCTTTAAGACTGTGATTTCATCAGTCTGGGCAATTTTACTCATATTTAAGGCTTCAGTTTCATCAACTGGCCAGAAAAAAAAAGTTATCACCAGGTAGCCAGTCTTTTGGAGAGGGAAATGGCAAACCACTCCAGTATCTTCGCCAGTTCAGCCTAGTTGTTTTTCAGTCCTATCCATTTGGGGTTTTCTTGACAGAGATGCTGGAGTGGTTTGGCATTTCCTTCTCCAGCTCATTTTACTGATGAGGAAACTGAGGCAAACAGGGTTAAGTGACTTACCCAGGGTCATCCAGCTAAGTAAGTGTCTGAGGCCAGATTTGAACTCAGGAAAAGAAGTCTTCCTGATTCCAGGTCCAGAACTCTGCACACTATGGTGCTACTTAGCTACCTTCCCTTATTTATTCTCTATATAGCTTGTTTGTATATATTTGTATGTTGTCTCCCACGTTAGATTGTGAGTTCTTTGAGGGCAGGAACTGTCTTTTGCCTTTTAGTATCCCCTTAGCACAAGTTCCCTGGCACATAGTAGGCCTTTATTTATATTGATCCCGTACTATCTAGTCCAATTGTCAGGAATGGGATTCTTTGGCAATTGGACTAATGAGATGGCAGGGGTGGGGGAGCTGAGTTGTTGCTGGTTGGCTACTCATTTACATTATAAAGCTCTCTCCCAATTAGAGAGATGGAAGGTTAAGATACTCTTTTTCCCCCAGAACAAAAGCATGAGAAGTCTCTGTCATTAACAGATCCTTCTTTGGTTTTTCCTTTGGCACCAGCAAATCTTTTCTAGCCATCACCTCTGGACTGGTAGGAGATTGACTAGCTGGCCTAAGGCATTTATTGAACTGTCTCAACTTTAAAACAAGGATCTTTTTGGTCTTCTTAGGGGTCTCAGAAAGACTCCCTCAGATCTGGATCTTCTCTCACTGTTATTCATTCATTCATTTGTCCATTTATCAAGTATTTATTGGATATCTTCTATGTGATTATAACTAATCCATATAACATATAAAAGGTAAGGAGTAGCTACCCAGGCTGGGGCATGGTGGTTGAGTCCAGAAAATGAGGGTGACTCGTTGGGCAGTCAGTCATTTATTAAGTGGCTACTGTAAGTCAGGTATTGTACTAAGCTCTGAAGGATACAAAGAAAAGCAAAAGACAAACCATAATCTTAAGGAGATTCTAGTCTAATGGGAATCCAACATGAAAACCACCATGTACCCACAAGATATACATAGGATACGTTGGAGGCAATCAATAGAAGGAAGTCAGTGGGGGAAAAGGGAAGAGAATAAGCATTTATTAATATAATATATTAATATAATATAACAGAAATGGTATAATATTTATTTATAGTAATATTTGATATATATTTAATAATATAAAATTGATTAATATAAGTATTCTCATCTGATTCTCACAATAACCCCATTGCTATGTTATTATAGTCTCATTTTGCAGTTATCACTCTTTTATAATTAATATTTTACAGTAGAGGTAACTGAGACAGACAGAGGTTGAGTGATTTGCCCAGGGTCACAAGATCAGTAAAATATTTCAGCCTGGATTTGAATTGAAGTTTTCCTGACTGCCAACCTAGCACTCTATCCACTTCATTAGGGGAGACCCTGCATAGGAGATGGGAAACTACATGTGTTAACTCTATTGACTGTGTTTTCTATTAATTTCTTTAATGATTTGATGTGCTATGCTCTGTGTGTTGTGCTACATGTCACAGATATCTTGGTGGATGCCAGTATGATTTTCAGAGATTGCATATTCTTCACTAGGGGAGGATGTAGGGCAGCACTTAGCTGGCCCAGTGCCTGGCATCCAGGTAAGTGGTTAATAACGTTCATTGACTTGACTTGATATAATGTGTCCCATTATCATGGCAAAAATCTTTCTAATTCTGAGTCTAAGGGCCTATCAGTATGAATTTATAAAACACCAGTGTTGCAGAATGTTTCTTCTTTAAAGAAACTACTATAGATCATCCACTGCATCCTGGGCCATCACCGCTGGTCCTGACTTTTGTCCTGCCGTGGGACTTCATTGACTCTGGATGACAGAGTGAGGCTGATGACTTTGTGCCACTCTGACTTACTTAAATCCAATTCACACACAGATCAAGATATCATCCTACGGTGTCATTGGTCCTCTTCAAAAACAAAGGATGAACAACAACCTAGGAGAGAAAGGAGAGAGAAGAGAGAGAACTGCAATGCAAACGAGCAAGGCACATCCTTGGACAGTGAAGAGACTAGCCTGGCTGTGTTTACGTGGAAATAACAGAGTAGAATGGAAAGTACGTCGAATTTAGAATCAGAAGGCTTGGGTTTGGACACTTGCTAGTTTGTGACTCTTTGTTGTTATTGTTCAGTCATTCAGACATGTCCAACTTTTCGTAACCCCATGGACTATAGCACACCGGGCCCTTCTACCCTCTACTATCTCTCAGGGCCCCTGTAAAACAGCTGGAATTAAAGGTCCCTTAGTTCCCTTATAATTCTAAATCCTATGGTGGATCATGAGGCTGAGACAAGAATTAGGATGGCTATGAGAGGTTGTCAGTGGGGAGGGGACTGGAATACATCTGATGTGGATTCAATTCAACAAGCATTTATTAAATACTTACTATGTGCAAGGCCTGGGAGGGTACAAAGGAAAAAATGGATGAAAGCATCTCTCCCCTCATTCTACTAGTGGGATGTAACATGTACTAGATCAAAAACAAGATTCCGTCTTCATGTGACTTTCTAACATTCTATTCCCTCTGAAGTCTTAGACAAAGCCACTCTTTGAAGGACTATTCTACAGTAATAATAACAATAGTAACAGTAGCGTTTATATAGCACCTATGTGCCAGGCATTGTGCTAAGCGCTTTATAACTGTTTTGTCACTTGACTCTCACAACAACCCTCGGAGGAAGAGGTTTACTAAATGCTTGTGCCCTTCCCTTCCAGGAATGAGAGGGCAGATGGCCTGAGCACAGGCACTGAGGTGAAAAGGGTCATGCTGAGCTCAGGGAAGACTAGTACCTTTGGTGTGAGGGCTGCAGAGCCCTCTGCAGGGCTGCTTTCCACCTTTGGTGTCTACCTGGTCCACCTAATTCTCATCTGTGGCTCCAAGAAGCCATAGCATGTGTGGCGGCCACAACCCGTCAAGCCATTTTGTTTTGTTGTGTTTTGTTTTTTGGCTAGGCAATGGGGTTAAATGACTTGCCCAGGGTCGCACAACTAGTAAGTGTTATATGTCTGAGGCCAGATTTGAACTCAGGTCCTCCTGAATCCAGGGCTGGTACTCTATCCACTGCACCACCTAGCTGCCCACTGGCAAGCCATTTTGGCAGATGGGCTAAACCAGGTTGAGGGTCTCAGACCCATCGGTAAGTTACAGGGGCATCTACCCCAAACATATGAAGACTTCCCCTGGTGGAATGAGCAGATGAGAACAATCTGTTCCAATGTCCATGAAGGCAGCTGAAGCGGGCACCGTGGAATGTTTAGAGGTTGGTTAGACATCAAAGACACCAAGGTCATCCACTGTCTCTCGAGCTATCACCAGTTGTCTTGACTTTGTCCTGCCACTGAACTGTGATGACTCTGGAAGAGAGAGTGTGGCTGACAATTTTGTGCAACTCTGCCTCACTTAAATCCAATTTATGCATGAATCAAAATACATCACCCATACAAAAAAAGAGAGAGAAAATACTGGTAGTTATGATAATAATGATGATAGCATTTCAATAGCTTTAAGATTTGAGAAATGCTTCATAAATATTATTGTAGTTTATCCTCACAACAACCCTAGGAAGTAGGTGCTATAATTATTCTTCTTTTACAGATGAGGAAACTGAGGCAGACAGAGGTTAAGTGACTTGCCCAGAGTCACACAGCTAGTTAGTGTATGGGGTGAGATTTGAGCTCAAGGCTTCCTGACTGGAGGCCCAGCACTCTATCTACTGTGCCACCAAGTTGCCTGGCTGCCAGAATAAGTGGAGAGGAGAAGTGAGAAATAAATCTGGAAAAGCAGGCTGAGAGTGTGATTGGAGCTGAGATTTGAAGGAAGCCAGTCAAGCCAGGAGGTAGAGGTGAGGAGAGTATCCCAGGCACAAAGGACAGCCAATGAAAAATCATGGAGTCAGAAGATATGAGCATCTCATGCAAGAAATTGCAAGGAGGTGGGGCAGCTAGGAGATGCAGTAGATAGAGCACTGGCCCTGGAGTCAGGAGGACCTGTGTTCAAATCCAGCCTCAGACACTTGACACGTACTAGCTGTGTGACCCTGGGCAAGTTACTTAATCCCATTGCCTAGCCAAAAAAAAAAAAAAAATTGCAAGGAGGGTCAGAGTGTTCCTGGATCATGAGTACTTTGGAGGGGAGAAAAGTATAAGTAGATTAAAAAGCTAGGAAGCAGCCAGGTTGTGAGGGGCTTTAAAAGCCAAACAGAATATCTTATATTTGATCCTAAAGGTAATAGGGAGCCACTGGAATTTATTGAGTAGGGGAGTGGATGTGAAAAAACCTGTATTTTGGTAAGATCACTCTGGCAGCCAAAATGGAATAGATTGGGCAGAATTCAGCCAGGGAGACCAACCAGCCGGCTACTGCAGTAGCCCGTGGGTGAGGTAAGGAGGGCCAGTCCTGGGGTGGCATCTCTGTGAGAGGAGAGAAGGAAAGGTACATATGCGAAATTGTCAAGGTTGAGATGACGGGAGTTGGCTTTGTGGATTGGAATATGTGGGATGAGCTAGAGGGAGGAGTTGAGGATGACATCTAGGTTGGGGGCCTGGGGGACTAGGACAATGGTGGTGTCCTCCACAATGATAGGGAAGTTTCTAGTTGATTGATTAGGCAAGTGACACAGTCAGAGATGCGATAAAGAAAACCACTTTGGCAGCCACGTGGAGGACAGACCAGAGTGGTTAAGAGATAAGTCAAGGAGACCAATAAAGAGGATGTCACAATTAGATATGACAAGAGCCTTAACTAAGCTGGTGACTCTGATTGGAGAGAAGGAATCAAATGCAAAAGTTGTCCTTAAGGTGGAAATAGCAAAATGCAGCGATTGATTGGATACGTGGATTGAGGGAGAAAAAGAGGTCCAGGATAATCTGAGATTATGAACCTTGGAGACTGAAAGGATGGGGATGCCATTGATAGAAATAGTGAAGTTTGGAAGAAGAAAAGGTTCAGGGAGAAAAAGGATGAGTTGAGTTTGAGATGACTAGGGGACGTCAAGTTTGAAATGGTCAACTGGTGATGGGTGATGTGGGACTGCTGCTCAGGGGAGAAACTGGGACTGGATATGGAGATCCAGGAGTCATCTAAACAGAGATAATATTTAAACCTGTGGGAGCTGATGAGGTTACTGAGAGAGAATGTGTAGAGGGAAGAGGCCTAGGACACAGTCTTCGAGTATGCCCACACTTCGGGAACATGGATGATAAATCAGCAAAGGAAGTGGAGAAGCTATGATACAGGTAGGAGGAGAGGGTAGTGTCATGAAAACCTAAAGAGGAGGAAATATTTAGGAGAACAAGGTGGTCAACAGTGTAAAATGCAGCAGATAGATGGAGAAGAATGAGGATTGATAAAAGACCAGCAGATCTGGCAATTAAGAGATTGGGGGTAATTGTGGAGAGAACAGTTTCACCTGAATGATCACAAAGGAGTGAGGAGTTAGAGGAGAATAAGTGATGGTAATGATAGAAAACAGCAAGTTATTTTCAAATAGTTTGGCTGAGAAAGGGAGGAAAGATTTAGGATGACACCTGGAGGGGATAGTAGGTTCTAGTGAAGGTTGCTTTTTTTTAAGGATGGGGGTGTGTTTGAAGGTAGTAAGGAAAGGAGTTAGTTGTCATTCAGTCATTTCAGTCATGTCTGACTCTTTGTGACCCCAGTTGGGGTTTTCTTGGCAAAGATACTGGAAGTGGTTTGCTGTTTCCTTCTCCTGTTCATTTTACAGATGAGGAAACTGAGGCAAACAGGGTTAAGTGACTTGCCCGGGATCACACAGCTAGCAAATGTCTGAGGCCAGATTTGAACTCAGGAAGATGAGGCACTGTATTCCCTGTGCCACCTAGCTACCCAAAGGAACTAGCAGATAGGAAGAAATTGAAGATTTAAGAGAGGGAGAATGATTGATGATGCAATCAGCTAAAGAAGATGAGAGGGAATGTTGGCCTTTGCAGGGGGGAGGACCACTTCTTTACCAGAGACTGAGGGAAAGAAGGAGAGGGTGGGAGGTGATGACAAGGGGTTTTAAAATGAAGAGAAAGAAAGAGAGAAGAGAGAGCCGAGAAATTTGTTTCACTTTCTCAAATGTTTATTAGCCACTTACCTTATGCAGTGCATCATACTAGGTGCTAGAGAGTACAAGGCTGAAACAAGCCCTAGTCCCTTCCATGAAGGAGCTTAGATCCAAGAGGGGGGTAAGACAAGAACTTAACTACAATGGGAAGTGAATCTGTGAGCTCATCAGTATGGATGCTCTTTCTAATGATGCAGACCACAGTCCGTCCATTTCTCCCCATCCTGGGCAACACTTTCAGTATCTTCCTATAAATTCCCTGCAGGGAGTCTCAACAGCGTGTGAGGAGCCTCTCTTACCTTTTCCAGACATCTCCAAGATACCAGCAAAATGTTGGAGCTATCTGCCTGTTACCAGCTCCTAACAAATAGGGAGATAAGTAGAGAGATTGAGAGGTGGATGGATAGATAAATAGATAGACAGATGGATGGATGGACAAAGATATTGGCTGACAGATGAACAAACAGAAAATGGACAGATGGATGGATGAATAGATAGATAAACAGATGGACAGATAGAGAGACAGATAGATGGGTGGAAAGACAGACATGGAGAGACAGATGAATAGATGAATAGAGACAGACAGATGGATGGACAGACAGATGAATAGACAGATAAATGGACAGATGGATGGACAGACAGACAGATGATAGAACGATAGATGGGTGGACAGACAGATGGATGGACAGACAAATAGAAAGAGACACGCAGGCAAATGGATGGACAGGGCAATGAACAGAATTTATGTATTACACAGCAAAAATAATGAGCAGAATGGAAAAACATGAATCTGTAATGGCAAGCCTCACCAAAGAAACAAAAGAGAGAACAAGAAGACTGCAAGTGCAAATACACAGAAGTGAAAGAATCTAGAAGAAGAGGTGTAAAAAACAAGACCATGAAAAGAATATATGTTCACCATGCAAGCAAAACGCAGATCTTGAAGACAGAATACTTAGAGAAAACCTAAAGATCACAGGTCTCCCAGAAGACCGCGACAGAGCAAAAAACCTTAACACCATAATGGAAAATA